GAGGGTTCACGGGCTTTGATGGTAATGAGGGGTCTTAGTGAGGAGGATCCTTTGAAAAAAGTGCTGTAGATGTACAAAAATAAATGTTTGAGATTGTGGGGAATTCCAAAAAAAAAGTATGTGAAATGGAAACCGGATATGCTAATCCACAATTCATTAAAGAAATGTTTCTGGAGCTCTTCGTGTGTCGGTCAAAAAGTAATGTTTTATTTGTTCTTTCAATTAAATTTATGTAATGTATTTTAGTTCGAGTTTTTAATTAAATATTTTGTATTTTATGGTGCTAAATTATATTTACGCTGTATTTATAATCCATTTATTCACGTTTTGAGCATAGACCTGAAAATAAAATTTCCAATTTAAACTGTCGTAAATTTTTAATGCTTTGGAGCACGGACTTAAGTTTTATATCTTTTTTTTTAAAAGACGACACTTGGCAGATTATTGCCGAAGTGAAAAACATTTTAAAAAGTGAACTTAGGTTACAGAATTTTACATTTATTGTTATGAAAAATGCACACATTTTTTCTAAGCAATGTATATTTTCAAAAACACGTTTTATTTAAAACCGCAAGAAAATCAAAGCCATAAATCTAAACAAGTTGTGTTCCACATTTGAGCCGGATATCTAAAAAAAATTGCTTTCAGTAAGTAAGATTTTGTTTCCACTAGATGAAATTGAAATTCATCCCCATTCATTTCCAATGCGCTCATTTTTGACTGCAAGGAGCACAAGTGTGACTATTTTTTTAGGACCAATTAACCTTTTCGAATCAAGTCCATGTTTTTTTATGTTCACATAGCAGGTGCCAAAACCTTTACCAAGTTTTGTACCATTCCGATGAAGTAAAAAAAAAAAATTCGGTCAAAAATTACTGAAGAGCACCAGAGGGTTAACACAAATTGAGTTGTGAAATGAGGCCAGTTGCATCAGAATATATATACATATATAGACAAAGGTACAAGACTGTGTACTTAACGGCTTTAGTGAGGGAAAGAACTGCAATCCCATGAAGCATTGCAAACAGCATAATCAAATTAAAATGGAGAAATATAAAACTACTCATTCACAAATGTTGATATATAAACAATATATTTTAAGTTTATTTTAAAACATGCATATATATTCAAATATGTCAGTATTTTGAGCGCATAGGGAGATCGACTCCATTACGTTATTCGCCGTGCTCATTGGGAGAGGGCGAGGCTAAAGAGATCTTCTGACAGGTTTTGCTGCTTTCTGATTGGTGGAATTTTCTGTACAGCATCATGGGTAATGTAGTTTTGTCCATTAATTTTCCAAAGTTAAACACGATTATTTTAAGACTAAGTTGAAATAATGCAGGCTGACGCCTTCAACACACGCAGAAACTATTGATTAATAACATCGTAGCTCATTGTCTTTAAAGGTTTCTAAGTTAAAGTTAAAAATCCATTTCCCTCGTTTTCAATGCAAGTACTGTGCATTACCCTAACCACAATTTATATTCGTTTCAACAAACTTAGCCACAAGTCAAATTAATAATCAAAGAACCTGTCAATGCATCTTAGTTGTTTGAACCCAGAACATTTCTTTAATCCCAAATTATGAATGAAATGGCCTATGTGATGTATATGATCCTATGACATCTCTCAATAATGAATTATCAAAGAGCCCACACACATTCCCGGTGAGAACACTTTTTAATACAAGATTCAAACATACAGTGTTTGGTGGTATAAATGAACCAACGCTGTTTAACATGAAAGAGAATGAATAAAGTGGTTTTCGTCATTACGTTGGTGTTGAATTCTTTACTAGGTTGCACTTCATCGCAGCATCTGCGTGTTGTCAGACCTCAAAGGCGTCTCATTTAACACATCACTGTCATTTGTTACACCTGGCCCCCAAGGTCAACCTCAGCACCTTTAGAAATGCATTGCTTAAATGTTCGACGTCACCTCGGCTTGTCTTTGCAATACAGCTTGCACACTTTGAAACATCGATAAAAACAAAAAGAAACAGAACTCATATACACAAAACATACTGACCGTTCCCCCCTCTTATCAAACGTAAAAGCATGATATTCCAGTTTTAAGTATTAAAGTTATATTCATACTAATCAAACAAACTGCATATGATTTTTTTTCTTCTGCAGGCTGAAATACTGTAAAAAAAAAAAAAAAGTACGGCTAACTTGATTTCACATAAAACATGTATAGACACCATAACTGTGCCGAAGAATGAAACGAATATTGTGATACAGATTAAATTAATCTTTAGCTCAGGGTTTGTAAAAATAACCAGATAGATTGAATATATGTAATAATATTCTCCATTGACCTACAACACTGAGCTTGTATTTTATAGGAAAAACAAGCAAACATTCTTAAAAGGGGAAACTGTTGCATTTTTACTTACTCATCATCCCGTTTCACAACATGAACTAAAGCAGCAGACTTAACATTGGCAAACAACAGCTATTTTGTAATCTGCATCTTTGGTTTTTCCAAGTAAAATATTTATTCAGAGTTGTGCTAATGAGAAAGCAGTAGACTCATTGCTACATAAATGTATAAATAATGTATTGAAACAAAATAATCTGTTTCTTTGCTGATTTATGCATTCCTGTAAATTATAAAATGTGAATGATTTCTTACCATACTGGCAAATTGCTTAAACTTTAGTTTCAATACATAACTTTGCAAAAATTATTTTCCTAATCAGTATTTTTTCAATGTCGTACCAAGATGAAGTGCATGTTGCAATGTTTTTGTACCTCAATCCTAACTTGTATCTTTTGCAAGACCAACATCTTGAAACTGCTGGTACGTCCGAAAGAAACATGGATTTTGGTTAACTGATAAATGGAAGCATTAAAAACCGAGTTAGCATTACACCCCGAAAGTAAGCTACATCCATACATAACCCCCTGCATGGCCAAACAATTCAGTCTTCTAGGGTTGTCAGAACTGAGGACGTATCACACATATCTTGCACACTACTCATACTGACCAGCCGTGACTACGTCACACCTTTATTATTGCAAATGTCACTTTTGAAATCAAACCTCAAAACAAACGAGCGTAAAACGAATCAGAAAAAAAAACCACGAATCAAAAAAAAAAAAAAAACTATTACAAAGGGCAACATTTTTCCCGACAACACAGTCCGCCTTTTCTATTTTGTTAAATAAATTTAAAGCAAACAAAGAAATCCACCTAAAAAAAAAATAGACAGATGAGGAAAAGCTATAAATGAATCAATTACCAAGACTAAAGATTTACAAATTGCAGTACACTATATATTTATTGTTCTTAATAAACAATTTGAGGCTGTATCAAAAACTTTATAAAAAATTAGATCGTGATTTTAATCAACCTTTTTTTTTCTGTGATGATTTTGTAAATGAAACCGGCTCTTTTCACTCCCATTCCAGGTCTTGCGCAAAGATTTTTTTTTTAAATAACCATCACTATATATGTATAAAAAATAATCACCCCTCATCTAAAACAAACGGTAATATTTTTTCTCCTATTCGTTTTTTTTTACCATATCTGATTTACACACGTTTGGACTATAAATACAGTTATATCCACAGGCAGAATATTATGTACAGAAGACACTTGCTGCGATACCACCAAGGCAAAATATGGCATTCAACTGCAAATATATAATAATGACATGACATAATAAACAATGCCGTTGTGTAGAGGATTGGGTCACTATTATCAAAATCTTCAGTCTTTATTTAGAATTATTTTGAGTGGATCCAAGGCATATACTCCATAATCATCACTGAAATTATATATATATATATATATATATATATATATATATATATATATAATTTTTTTATTTTAAATAACAACAGAAAAAGAAAAGAAAAAGAAACTACAAATCATTTGAAACCAGAGCTTGTTCTGATTAAATCAAGTCTTTGAAATTGAGCAATCGGTCTCAATGACTGTCAGTAGCTTGAGTTTAACTGGTGAAACAGTATATTGGTGGTTTTGACTTGAGGGTGCTGAACATTGTTCCTGCAGTTTTATGAGAGAATTAAGGATACGGAGACGCCGTCAACCTGTACATCCAATTACATCACAAGATTTCTTCATGACCTATGGGAAATATGATTAAGTGAGATCAGTACTGGGCTTCAGCCTGACAGGTCAAAGGTAGAATCTGCATAGACGACTCACTCATGAGATTACCTCATCCAAAAGTTTCACATGGCTGGCAAGAAACTATACAGCACATTTCTCAAGTCAGAACACACTTTGCGATGTTCACTCAGTGATTTAATATTTAATATTAGTTAGTTTTTTTTTCAGAATTGAGGGGTGGAAAATAGTGTTTTCAGTGTGATACTTAAAAAAAGTCATAAAAATATATATAATAAAAATTAAAGATGTTCTAGCATAACTTTCAAATATACAGTGGATTAAACAAATCTTTCGTTTTGGCTACCTCTTCTTGTAGTGATTTAACTAGACATGTGAATAACAATAAAAACTTTTTAATTTTGTGTTAAAAGGCAAAACCATAATGAATCGACATCCCACAAAACTGTCTGCATGCCTGTCCAAGTCTCTCAAGGCCATTCTTTTATTCCCCTCCTCTTATTGAATTTCTCTATGAAACCTTTTGCACCTGCAGTCAGCTTTATTGTCCGCTTATATTATTCAAGATTAACGAATTCAGAAGATAGAAAGAGTGCTGTTAGGCAAGAAGTTTGATTCTGAGTCAAAAAAAAGGAAAAACAAAAAACAAAATAAAAGAAATAAACAAAACCAATAATTAGTCAAAAAAAGCCCATCTAGACACAAAAGCGCCAGGACTGGAGGGTACATCCCCAACAGTTTAGCAATAACCAGAGTAGTCAGAGGCTGAGGTTGTTCTTGCTGTCCTTTGCAGACTATCCACTCACCCCACCCTCCCACTTCTCCTTAAGAGTCCTGTTTAACAAAAACCATCCCATCACATTCAAACCCAAACCCCCTGATTTGCAGCGCCCCCCTTCTAAAAATCCCATAATGCAAAGAGACAACACTGGTGTGGAACTACAAAAGTTCCCCATCCTCCTGCTCCAGAGGTTTCAGCAAACATTAGGGTGGCACGTAAGGGGGTGGAGATCTGTATGGGGTCATGTTCTTAGGACGGGATCCTTTCCCCTCCATTGGGACAGTGAAGGGTGGTGGTGGCTGGTAGGGAGGGGCATTAGGATCCTCATCGTGTAGAGGTGTGTACTCTCCCAAAAGGTCCTGGTTCAGAGGTGTTGTCTCTGGACTAGCCATGTTGGGATACTCTGGTGGAGGAAGCGGAGGCTTTTCCTCTTGAAGGATAAGGGGCATGCTGGAAGAGGGGGGTGGCTTAGAGTCATCGAGCTCATCCGCAAAAATAATGGGCACTCCTTTCTTGATGAAAGTTGCTTGGTCTTCTATAGTCAGCTTGCCCTTGCGCTTCTTGCGATAGCAAATCATGGCAATGATTCCGGCAATCAGCAAAATGGCTGCAACCACCACTGCCGGTATGACGGTGTGAAGATAAACATCATCAGTGCTCTGTCTTCCCGCGCCCACAGCAGGAGTAACAGGAGATGGAGTCGGATCGGGGATCTCACCTAACGGTACAAACATGTAGTTACGGCAGCTTCCTGTGCCCCTGACAGTGATATTTAATGCCTTGAAGTCGGGTTCCATGAGTTTGGTGAATTGTATAGAGGGTTTACCCTCATTATCAGAGATCTTTCTGCTCAAAAGCTGTATTTGCTCTTTTGGGCAGGGGTTTTGCTGAAGGCTGTTGTTGGTCCATTCCACTATGATGGAGCCCTTGATGATGTTCTTCAGTGTAACAGTGCTGCTGTTTCGATCACCGAAAGACTGGGCCAGTTTCTTGACAAGAAGGATCTTTTTGTGAATGTCATTGGTGACTGTACGTGCATCCCCCTCAAACACAGCAGTAAACAACACCGGTGACTTAACACTGGCTCCCCATCGATTTACACGGACCTCAAAGGCATCGATTGCATAAAGACCTCCTTTGTCAGTTGCTTGCATGAAATACTCATGTTTTCCTTCGTGCTCCTGGTCTGGTAATCCATACAGCAACTGGCTTGTGCTATTGAACTGTATCCAGGAATCATCCCCAACTACATCATTGCCCTTGCGCAAAGTGAGCCTCAACTTATCTGTAGTTCCATCCTCTTTGTCGAAAAATGTATCAGATGGAACCTTCACCTCAAAGTAGGTGCCAACGTAGGCATTCACCTGATCGATTGGGTTACGCAGCTGGGGTTTTATATTGCCATCAAGTACAATAACCGCGGGAGTGGTGCGTCTTGGTGGCTTGGTTGTGGTGGATTTGGGTTCTCTTGGTATTGGTGTTGTCTTGGGTTTCTTTCCAGGTCTTTTTGTCGGTTTTGTCCTGGTGGTGGGTGTTGCTGGGGTCACAGAGGTTCCAACATATACAGGCCTGGTCATGGTGGGCTGGATGCCAATAGTGCTGGTGGTTTCCATTACACGTGTTGGTTGAGGGGGGCCTAAGGTTGGAGTGTAGGCAATAGGATCTTTGTTGTGAATGGTAGGTTTCACAGGAAGTGGCATAGGACCACGAACAGGTGGGGCAGAACTTTCTGAGGTAGGAGCAATAGAAGGAGAGGTTGGTGTGGGAACAATACGAACGGGGGGCTCAGGGTAAGCTGTTGGGGGGAGTAATGAGGGAATGGGAGTGGGGGTGTTGTTGAGCTGCCTTCGCACCCTTTTGGGTACATGGGGCTTTTTGTTAGCGATATGCCATCCAACAACTGGATACCCCAACTGTGCGGACATGGTCCCCTCTTTTGCTGGAACCTGAACACTACTAATATCAGGAATGCTGCTTTGATCCAGACTGCAGCCAAGTTTCCAGGACAAAAGGGCTCCGTTTTCAACCACCTTCTTGGCATTTCCTGGTCCTGCCATGAAAGCAGACATGTCAAACAAACGGTTGTTGACCACTGGCAAAATCTTCATGTGCTGAAGCCCCATGCCAGAGAACTTTTTCATGTTGGCAAGTAGCTCTACCCTCTGCTTTGAGCTCATCTTTGTGAGGTCAGCATCCAGAATGACGGTAAGCACAGTAACGGGCTCCTCATTGCCACAGATGAAAGGTTGGACATCATTGCTGGCTGATTGCTGGATTGCAAGCTGAAAAGGGTCTGTATCAGCATGCTCCTCTGGGTGCACCTCAATGGAGAACACATCTGGGCTCTGGGAGACTTGGCTTTCATTGGAAACAGAAACAGATATGTAGTGAACGCCCTTGTCTGTCTCTAGAGGAAGGCCTTGAAGTGTGCCACTCTCTGCATCCCAATGCAACCATGCTGGGAGCACATCCTTGCTTGCTTCTGTGATCTGTAAAATGGGAGGAGAAATAACGATTACTGCAACTGAATGACTCGCATCTGAAATTTAACAAGACAAATGAGCTTACAGTGATGCCAGACATGCACTGCCAAGTAAAACACGTAAAAACTGAAAGTAAATTTCACTTTATAATGTGACTAATCACATGAATCGAAGTCGTCTTTCTCAAATGATACATCATTTTTAGTTTTTGTATTATGTCTTTCCTGGTTGTGAGCATGAATTCAGTATCTTCAAATTCAGTAACACAGGAGGAGTGAAGACTATAATGAATGAGTGCTCTCAGAGTGGCATAGAGCTCCCTGCGGCATGAGATTCTCCATCAGCTGGAGAGCCATTCAATGAGCGCTCAGTCAAAAATAACCAATAATGAATCAATGGCATTGCGATGATCCGTTAACATAAGTCTCTTTGCAAATTCAAAAATACATCCTTTCTTTCCAGTTCCTTAATTCGATTGGTAATAAATCCTGGTTCATACATTATGTAGAGCCAGTGCCCATGAGTTGGGTCATTAAAACTCAAACCAGTACATAACAGTCACTAAGGGAGCAGTGGCATCAGCAGCTGGGCTTTTTATTTCAATTGACAGGCTTCAAAAGTTTAGACACAAAAATCCAACAGCACCACGCCCCTCTCTGCCTTTCGCAATCCTGCTTTTGAATATTCCCATCTACCAGTCAGAGCATGTGTGCGAGTTTGACTGTGGACCTATTTGATCGCTTAGAGACATTAATAATTCAGGTGAGAGTCTAATTATAGGCTGATCTATAGTCTTGTTGATTGATAGTGTGCTTGAAACATCAACATTGATGCACTTCAAATGGTACTTGGCTTGCACAGAACAGTTGTATTTTGAGGGTTTAAAGGGTTAGCTCACACAATTACAATTCTGTTATCATTTACACAGTCGCAGCTCTCAAATCCTATTTGCTTCCACATATTTAAATATGGCACCTTAAGAGGGGTCATAAACCATAAAGCGAAATTACAATTTAGTCATCATCATACTAAGCTATTCTATAACTTGCATGGACTACTTTCATGTATTTTCCAGTCTTGATGTCGACCCCCATTCACTTCCATCGTATGGAAAAATGTGGCGTGAACATTCTGCTAAACCTCTCCTTTTGTATTCCATGAAAGTCAAACCGAACTAAAATGACATAAAGGAGTACTATATAATGGCAGTATTTTTATGTTTGGATGAACTATTCCTTTAAAACACAGAAATGGGCCACAGCTATCAATTACAGAATGTGTCAAACTACGATCAATTGTGGAATTATCCTTCAATTAGTGAATTGATTCGGCAATGCCACTGAATCTATATTTACTTTTCACCTCATTATCTGTAAAAACCACAGCAATATCTAATAGGCCTAGATATACAGCACTGACAAAAATACCTTACATATTCAGTTTATAGCCAAATTGATACCATACCTGCATTGAAACATATGGTACAGATGGGATGTCTACTTTCTGTGCCTTTTTAGACCTTGGTTTAGATTAAAACAGAAGGTTAAGGCAAGTCTTTTTCTTCTGAAACTAGAGCATCAGTGGCAGCACACACACACACACAGCCACTGACATTTAGGGAACCACATAGTTTCCATAGTGATGATTCATGCAACCCACACTAAAGACAGTATAACTTCTGCCAACGGCATGTTTCTCTTGACTTAAGTGAAGAAAGCAAGGAAAGGCAGAAACGAGTGCAGAGAGAATGTCAACAACAAGAATATTAGGGAGTTGTTTTTTCTTTCATATTTCAATTGCTGCGGCAAGCCTGTCAGGACGCTTCTGAATGGCACATGTAGAATGGGAAAGAAAATATTCCTACAGATCCCAGGGCCACAAAACCAATAGACCAACAAGGAACCTAAAAATTAAAACTGTATTCCATACAAGGAATGTAAATGTCGACTGTCAATTTTTACATTCTGTTAAACCTGTTCAACAGGAAAAATAAAAGTCAAGAAGGTGTGGAGCGACATGACAGCAATCGATGACAGAATTTTCCTTTTAGATGAACTATCCCTTTAACAACCCGTAGGACCTCAGTGATAGGGTTGAAATATTAAAATCTTTAAAGACCTGATGAGAAGAATAAACTTTTCGCCCCTGAAATGAAGGAATTACAAGGATGAATCGAAACTCCCTTGGTTGTGGGTCGAATAAAGCTGCTCATTGTTAGAGCATGCTTGTGGGGGAGTCTGCAGGAAGAATAGATCCCATTGTTGGGATATGAAGACAGCTGAAAAGATAAGATTCATAGTTCTGAAGGAGTAGGCTCAGGCATGTCTTTGTGATATTAGAGAGAGAAACGGAGACAAAGGAGGCAGTGGGGGAAAGAGCCCTTTAGTTTGGCCAAGCAGATGTTTACATGAAATGACTAACCCATTTTCTTTGGTTAAAAATTCATGCAACTCTACTCATCGTGGTCTCTGAATACTTTTACACATGCTTCTTTAAATAAAGACCCATCACATTTTAAGGAGCGAAGCATTTGCACTCCCAATTTTGAGACAGAATGACGACAGAGTGATCTTTGAAAATAACCCACTCTTACCTAGGGAAAACGGCAGGCCTTTTTCAGCGGACTGTGGAACATGACCCATTTTTCTGCCGAAAATTACAAATGAAATGTGGGGTGTGTTCAGGTCACTTGAGAGAGGGATTTGCAAAATGTGCGACCGAGCTGCCTGTGTAGCAGAAATCAAAACAGGCTTCAAGTTGCCAATAGCAGTCCTTCATCTAGGTAAATGAAAGTTATCAAATTAATGCCGATTCTGTTTGCTGACATTTTTCAGACAGGGAAAGAAAAGGTAACAGAATAAAGGCTCACCAGGAGAGCTGCTGTTTGTTTATAACAAAACTTTAAATTGCTATTCGGTGAGGAGGGAATGTCAGCTTTTGATCCATGCTGCGGAACAAGCATGAACAAAGGAGAAAACAGTAAATGTGCAGAGGGGAGAAAAAATGCGCTGTGAAGATAAAACTCATGAATGGCAAGCAGCATTCTTTAAAGTGGATCGGTATCGAAACACGGTCACATTATGAAATAGGGAAAATTACAGCTCCTTGGGCTGTGTCATTGTGGCAGACAGGTGGAGATTGGGTATATGCAGTAACTCGACATTTGAATTCAACATAAGACCTATTTGATAGGACCTACCGGGACTTCTGCAAAATAAGAACCCTGAATAAAGAGGGATAAATACTAAAAGAGGGGCTTATTTATGGTATAAATCCACAGAGCTCCATTTTCTGAAACAATCACAAGGAGAACAGTCAAGGGCACTTAAATAGTCAACCAGTAACTGCCCTCTAGTGGACATAACAGGAACGGCATGGCAGGTTCCTCTGTTGATTCATTCACACAAGCCGAGGGCTGCATTTTGCTCCCTTTGTTTCCAAACCCACCTAAAATGAGGAATTATAGGTCCTTTTTTCTGAAAAGGAAAGACTTGTCGAGACTGCATAAAGACTGTGAAAGGGCAGTGGTGCGGCAGAGTAATTCTAGACTGCATTGACACTGGCACCGCAAAAGCCGGTTGCTATGCAGACAGTATCATAACAAATAAACGTGAATATGCATCCACAAGACCCAAACGGAGCGATCTTGAGTTACATACATCTCCCAGTCAACATAAAGTGACTCATATTTCCAAAGCCATTTTATTATCAGCTGCAGGAATACAACTTTTCCACTGCCTCACTGCTGAGGCTAATTAGGTTTCAGTGCCAGTCTTTGTGCTGAAAAAGGGAGGGGCTGGGGAGAATACGAAGATTCCTGCCATCACGGACGAGAGTGGAGGAGCAGGAGGAGAGGAATTCAGAGAAATGAAAGGACAAGGGAGAGAGAAGCTCGCCGTTTCCTTCGTTCAAACATGAACGACATCAGCAGCAACTAAAACAGCTGCCTATCGAGATGATTGAGCATTCGTCAATTGGCTTTGGCATTTAAGACTAGAGCGTTGTCCTGTTTTTAACATAAATAAAAAAAAAGCACAAAGGGATGTTTTTAGGATGAGGTTGGCTTTTCTCTCTTTTAAGCATATCCCCTTGGTTCCTTTTGATAAAATGGAGGCTAGAAATTTAAAAGCATGAAGTAGGTCAGTGACTTCAAAAGGATCTTTTGCACAGTAGGTTATTTATGAATATCTGAGGGTCCAAGTATTTCGTGGAAATCATGCTGATGGGTCTGGTGTGAACAGAGAACTTTGGACATGACAGACTTAAGATACTATAGAATTAGCAGCAAAGACCAACTGCAATACTATACACTAATAATGCTATAAAAAAAAAAAAAAAAAAAAGAGCAAATCAAATAAGATGTTAAAATGTAAACAAGAGTCCTGGAAATGCATTATTGGTGTTTGCTCAGGCAAGCACAACTATAACTATTGTCCATGCATATGTCTCTGATAAGCCTAAATGTGAAAGATACTTAAAATCTCATATGATTTTAAGTCAAGGTTTTTAAACCCTGGCCCAGGGACCCCCAGGGGGTCACGAGGGGGGGCTAAAAAATTCAGAGAATGGACAAAAAGAAAATGTATTTTTAGGGCTGTAATTAACATTTTCACTTAAGATATTAATTAAATGTTTAATGTGATGTATATATATTTTTTATATTTATATTTAACAAAAAAAAAAAAACATTGTACAGTGCCAATATTTTTCTATTATATATTGTAATAAACCAATTGTATATACAAAGAAATATATAGATGCTTAATTATAGAAAGTGGGCAAAAAAACTTTTTTTTTTCTTCTGATATACATAGACACAGATCTGTTATACATATATATTGAAGCCCTATTTAGACCATATAAAAAAACATGTCTATTTTATTGATGCACCAATTTTTTCCTAACTGACCGAAATACCAGTGCTATACCTATACATCTTTGTGTAGAACTGATGATCACTTTTAACACAGTCCACTAAATACACTACTTTATTATAGAGAAAAACAACAAATGAATGCAATCATATATTATGACAAAATATTTACCAGCAAAAGTAATTCTAGAAAAAATCTTGGGTGCACAATTTATTTTAAATGCATTTCAAAGCTTTTTAATGGGGCAACAAGATATGATAGATATGACAGATTACCAGTAAATTCCAGTTACTATGCGCATGCTTTATAAAATGGAAAAAAAAGGCAGCAGAGGCAATTCCGTTACAGAGTATTGGATCGGTGCGTCCTTATCTATTTCTGAGCCATTAAGCAACTACCTAGCAAACTCATAGCTAGTCTCTGATAATCTTCAACACACTACCATTGTAGTGGCAAGTTTTGCACGTACCACCACTCCAAGTAGTAAAACACAGCTCTGTAGTTAGAATTAATTTTTTGTCCTGGCTCTCTACCTTTTCTGAGACTTCAAAATTATTTGTAGTTTGCAAAGCTGATTCTAAATGTTCTTAAGGAAGGAAAGGGGAAGTTCATCGTAGGCTATTGGTCTGGACAGGTCTGAATGGCTATGGAAGGGAACAGCTGTAGGCAGCTTTAACTGTTGGGCGTTAGATTCTTTGGCACAGCTGTCAAGACAGATTTTCCGAAAGTGCACAAAGGGGTTTGTGGTTTCAACTTAAAAAATGCGCTTGACAGGGCAGAAATGATCCAGTGAATGTAGGATTACATAGAAGGCCTGGGAGAGCCGCCCAACATTTAGACGGGACAGAGAAACACAATGAACAGATTCAGACAGGGGTCACGCTTTTAACAACAGTTGACATGGACTGGTTGGTTAAAAATGTCTCATCAACTGTTGGGTGGTCAACAAAAGATGCCTGGTCAGGGCTGCATTGTGTTTGTACCATTAGCGCATCGATTGGTTTTCAGAAAGCAAGAAATGCTAGCTGACAGAAGACAGACACCTTGTTGGGGTTTAAATACCTAAAGTGCAATAGTTAAATAAAACTAAAGTGCACCCCATGCTCGCAGTTCCCAGAGAGCTCTAAGCCGTAAAGCATGCAGACCACGTGTTTTCAAGTAGTATTGCATTATTACAGGGACCAACACATTTTATGGTCCATCAGTCATAAGGAAAGCGTAGAATAAGATTTGAGCAGTGCTTGGGGCAAAGTCACGTCTTTTGCACTGACTGAGTACATTGGCTGGGGAGTGTTGATGTGGAGCTATCTGATATGCCAGGGACGATCCGCTGAGCACCAGAGGACAAATTTGTTTGCATACATTTGCAACACATTTTTAAGGATGCCATGCACTTTAAAGGAAGACAATCTCACCTTTACTACATCCCTGGAGTCCTTCGCTTTGATGGGCACCCCCATTTGGAACACCCTGCCCACCACCGCTGAGGAGTCTGGGAAGCCGCTGGGCTGCGACACGGAGACAACCGCTGCTTCTGCCTCACGTAGGTCCGACAAGACCGCCGAGTGCATAGACGCCTCCAGCTGCCTTACATCACCTAGAACTTCCATAGGGTTCTGATCCCAGGAAGCCCGCACTTCCGTTACTGTCAGCACCATTGCGATCAGCAGCACCACAAGAGTCCTGTCCCTCTGCCCCAGCATGGGGCGTCCCCCATCCCGGAACTCTTTCAGTTTATTGCGCATGCCTGCTTTTATTTTCTCTCGCACAAAAGAGGACGTCCAGTTGAGGGGGCAGCATGCACCCCACAGAGTCCGAAAGAACTGATCCTCTTTTCAAAATCTCAATCCTCTCCTTTTGTTCTCGATTACGCCTCTTTCCCCTCCTTTTGTGAAAGTGCCCTCAGTAGTTTTGAAATCCCATAGTTAAGGGGCTGCCTCTAAGACCTGTGTTGAGAAATAGAAAGAGAGGAATTCATTAACAAGCATTTCAATAGCAAAAGACAATACTGACATGTCTGACCAATGCAACTTAAGAGTGATATATCATGTTGGCGTCGCAAACAGCCTGAAATGGCTTACTGGTAAAAGCTAGAGATGCGCAAAACTAAATTTTTGAGGGTTTACTTGACCACCTACATTTCAGGATTAACTGACCCTCAGTTTCGGAAGGGACATAAGACACATTCTTGCGTTTGAAAACAACTAGATGTAGTAGGCTAAAACAAAGTCAGAGGACCTGCAACGCATTACTAAAGCTATGTTTGTTTTAAGTGTTTAACCATTTAAACAATATTTTTTCAACAAATATTTAAAAATTCAATGCACACGACACAAAACAAAAGTGAGTCGGGATGCAAAAAGGTATGTGCGAGATAAAAACGTGTTGACCTTTCTATTCCTTACTATAATGTTGATTGTTAAATGATTAGTCGATTAGTCAATTAGATCCCATTTCAAATACCGATCAAGGTATCTAATAAGTATCATGGCGGTGCCGTAAATCACTTTAGGTTAATGGTATAAGCCAAATATTCGGTCTCTGCCAGTGCTGATGTTTCACACTTCTTGCTTACCCACAAGCACACATACACAGGTGGATCAAGACTAATCTGATTACCATTCACAGCTTTCTCTCCCTTTTCTCCTCTCACACTGTGCTTTTCATTCCCGTTCTGCCTCATTCATCATCGAACATGTCCCTGAAAAAACACCCAGCACTGGAAGAGTAACCTGCTCCATGAGTGTTGACAGAAATGGTCAGAGACAGGGGGTCAGTCCATAGCGACCGACCGGTTTAAACACTTCAGAGGAATGCACACCATCTGAATTGTCTCATGGGGGGGGAGAGCTCTACACTCTAGAGGTTTGTTATTCATGCAGGTCTTTCACTCCGAGAGGAAGGAGAAAAAGCCTGCGGTGAAAAGAGGGATGGGTTTAGTGCAGGGTGGGCTGGAGATTTTTATGCATTTAAAGAGGGAGCAGCTCCATACAATGCAGATGATTTCCCCCGAGAACTGCTCTCGAGTCCTCGTGTCCAACCTATGAACGAGGGAAGCGGATACGAGAGGGGTGGGGCGGTCTCTCACGCTCCCTGTGTTCGGTGGGGGTTCGAGAGGAGCTTCTTCAGAAGACTCCCAAACAACAACACTGTAGGCCCAACTCACTATCTTTTGGAGATTAATTCTGAAAGCCAGCAGGAAAGTTACTCTTATAACAAAGTCCAAATAATCAACAACCATTTTCAAAGTCAGGTTTGTTTTGCAGTCTCAACCAGACGCCGACAAAACACTGTCCTCGAATGTTTAAAAAGACATCAAATGAAAATTAAAGACACATGGTTGACAGAAAAACATGGATACTACTGAGAGCAATAACATTGTGTTGTGGAGATAGAACATAAGGTGTGTTTTCGGGTTACGAGCAAGAATTTCAAGGATGTTTAACAAAACCTTTGATATTTACTCAACAGTGTGTAGGCCAAGGATCATCAATGGCCGACAAACTGCCAAGACGCTCCCTCCATAGATTTTCAGATAAAATTAAGTTCACATCAGATTCATTCAGTTCGATAAGCTATTCATTTCAAGTCACCACAAATATAATCATTGGGATTTAGTGTCTGACTCTAATCTGTGCTTGCTCTCAGGTTCAGAGCCATTTGGAAAAAGTCACTGAAGTCCCTGACTTGTTAGTTTCCAATAGGAACTTTCATTATGCCAGTGGATAATCTATAATGACTGCTGATGTACCTCATTACATAGACCACAGGCTCCATCACACACACACACATAAAAAAAGCCACCAATACTACTGTTTTAAACTTAAGTCAATCTTACTTCACATGAACTGTTGACTAAAGAGAAGAACTCCTGCTGAAAACCCTGCCACCTTTTGACAAGGTTTTTTTTAAGGCTTGTATTAGAAATCTGCAGAATGCCTGAAGTCTTATCGCACATCATTTATCCGTACAGGTATGGCTGGAGGTACAGTCAGTAGCATGACCCTCTTCAGCTTTACGCACTTTTCCACTACAGTCCCACCATTGAGCATTCACAAAGAGCCAGATGAAATTGGCAGGTACATGAAAGAACTTAAACCTCATCTCCGGTTGCGGATAAAGACGCCCTTTCAGCTCTCAGGAATGGCGGGCTGATCTCTAAAAGGTGGAAAAAGGGGCCCATCACAGAATTCCTCCCTTGATCAGCCCGGCACAAGAAGCTGCACTGGTCACAGGAACCCTGCCGCCAGACTCACCGGCAATGGACTCGGACCCTTTCAGCAGTCAAAATGACCTGAGAAGTCTTTGAAATAGGCCATTCTGTTCTAAAGACAAAATGAAAATCACTTCATGCGTTAAAAAAAAAAAAAAAAAAAAAAAAAAAAAAAGAGAATCACGAAGGCCAGTCCCTACTACACGCCAGCAAAACTACAGAGGGCCATTGTGTTGGAGGCCTGAAACAGTCCACTGGACGCTCCGGGAGATTAGGATTTGACAGGGATGTATATAGGTTGGGGGAGAGGGCAAGCAGTAATAGGCTTGCAGACAACAGTTCAGTTGGCAAAGGGGGAAGAGCGCCCTTTGCCCTGGTACCATGGTGACACCCCTTGTCCATCACCCCCAGGGGCCCATGCTATTGGACAAGCTTATAAAAAGGATTGAGTCACGCATTCCAGTTGAAGCAAGACAACAATGTTTACTTGCAGGCAAGGCAGGGCTCCAGACAAAAAAAAAATAATATATATATAATAATAATCAATTAATGAGCCATTGGCTCCTATAAGGGAATTTTTTTATTATTATGAATCATTTATTCATTATTTTTTAAGTGCACAAAAGAATAAACGTGTTTTAATTTTGTCATGTGTTGTCACGTCTGCCCTCCTTTTACAGCATCAGCATTTTCATCCATCTTGTGGATGTCCTGGGAACTAAGATTCACTTAAAGTAGGAACTGAATTGCTTTTCCAACTTGAGAACATAGTCACAAAGATTTGTTCTTCACACAGAATCTGAGCCAGTGTCACTGACCATTATAATGCCAGCTTTACTTGGCCAAAAAGTATAGTTTGGACTCCTAATGCATCCTATAAATGTTGTTGTATGTCTTGCACACCCAAGGCAGCTCTTCAAACACATTCTACATGGTTGAATTTCATTTTTAGCTCCTTGCATTCTTTCTCATGTAGACAACAGGTTAAGTAAAAATATAAGGATTATGTGCATGTTTAGCAAAATTACCCTTTCTATATTTATTTGTCTGACTAATGAGTTTGAGCATTGAATGGCTTTTCTGAGGTAAATTTGACATTACGTAACATGATTGTTCTCAAGCTGTTTTATAAAAGCTCTTTTCCAAGGTCGAAATGCTGCGTGAGCGATCTGTCAAGCCACATTAAAGAGCACCAAAACGACATTTATTACTTGTATTTTGATATAAAATTGACAGAATTTGAAAGCTGAAAGTTTGTTAATTGTTTACTAAAATTAACAAACACATTAAAGGTGACAAATAAATACAAATCTTACTGCGATTATGGATGGCTGAGCTACAAATAATGTGAAGTTCATGGAGTAAAAGAAAACAGCAAAGATTAAAAGATATTGAGAATAAGAATCCATATTATCAATTAAAACCGAGGATTGTTAACGATTAGTTCGTGTCCACACAGCTGACATGTTTATCCATGTTGTGCACAAAATAGCCTAGGCACTGTCTTCCTGCACTTTCTGCATGTTCCTTCACTGACACGTCTCCGTCGTTTCCTCTCTCATGCTGGCACAGCCATCAGCGTCGTTGCTCGATAGAGAAGAGGGCTTTGAAAAAAGGGTATTTTTTGGTTTGACATGCGTTTCTGACGCTGAAAGCTGATCCACGTCCCTGTGCATATTTTGGCGCTCAGAACTCAAAAGTCATCTCATTTTATTACGGCAACACAACAAAAAACGTGATAGGCTACTCATCACAGAACATGCTTGTAAAAAGGCATGCAATTTTTTAACCACAACATGTTAATTTTTATTGCCACCAGTGGCGATCTCAGCAAAAATATCACTAGCAAATTAATATTTTTGATTGCAAATGCGACCGGTTTAGTCACAGTCTGGAACCCTACAAAGGTGCCTTGTTGGATAATTACAACAGCACACTTTTTTACAATCTTTTTATTTATTTATTATAATATGTAATGTCATTTTTAGACAGACCGCCTTGGTTTTGGCAAAAATGTAACTACACAAATACAATACATAGTTGAATTTTTGGATGGACCAGTCCCATACACCTTTTGTTCCCCCAACCCTCAGAACAAGTACATAATTCACTGTAGATACCATAAAAACACATTTACCAATGCTCACAGCTCTCAACTAAAATATAAATGCACCACAAGAGATTTGAAGAATACTATACACATCAGCGACTGAAAACTACACAAAATTAAAGCAATATGACAATTAAAATGCTGCAAGCTGAGACCTGAGAATATGACCACAGGCAAGGTGATCTCAAACAGGAATTTTATTCAAGCTAAATAAACTTTTTTTTTTTTTTTACAAGCAGGGAGTGTTGTTCGTTTGTGCCAAAACGAAATTAAATAGTACAGAATTGTAGGAAGGACCTGAGCAGAACCCTCTTGATTATTTTATTCATTTCTGATTTGAGAAGGAAGTATTCATAAAATATTAAACACACACAGAGACAGAGAGAGACAGAGACAGAGAGACAGAGAGAGAGAGAGAGAGAGAGAGAGAGAGAGAGAGAGAGAGAGAGAGAGAGAGAGAGAGAGAGAGAGAGAGAGAGAGAGAGAGAGAGAGAGAGAGAGAGAGAGAGAGAGAGACGAGAAATTACATTACAAGCCATCGGCAACAGCTCACTTAGGTCAATTCATACTGCATGTCTGTATTTTCCTCACTGGTGTTGGCAAGCCACTTGACACCATGACTT